CTCATGTTGACACATGAGCTGGGCCCAGGGCCATCCAGGGCTGTGGGGGCAGAGGATCAAGGGCCCTACAGGGGCAGGGTATATGTGCTCAATTTACTGTGCCAGCCATGCCTATGGCAAACTGGGCTGTAGGGCAGAGGCTGGAGGGGTCCCTCAGGGATAGGAGTAGTACTAAAGCCATGGAATGACCCAGGCTCAGCAGGGTTGGCTCCTGTGTTTGTCAATCTGTTCCTTGGAGCAGTCTTCCTGCTGTGCTGGTACTGATCTCATTCAGACAGTTCTCAAAATGATGCAGCTCTGTTTCTCAGAGTCGTCTTTCCACTGTGCTTCTGGAGTGTATAATGTTGCATGAACTTGAGTGCTAGGGTCTTGACTCCACTGTTTAGTCTAGTGGATGTAGCAGCTGCCCAGGTGAGTTGGTGGGGTTTCAGTGAGTTCTCAGAGATTGAAAGACATGCAAGGAGCTGGTTCTTGGCACTGGTTCTACTTTAACAGTAGTTTTATTACCAAGATAGTGCCTCTCTCTAGCAGTTTTGGTCCTAGGAGTTGGAGTTAACCAAGGGGAGAGCTTTTCCTGAAGTTATGAAGCCCTGCAGATATGAGGAAGTTCCCTGGACTGGGCCCAGGGATATGTGGAGTACTAGACTCCCAGGCACCAAGGAGTGTGAATGTGAAATCTTTCTATGCTCACTTGATAGGTAATTTTTAAAGGAAATTATTTTTTTCCAGTTTTACAATTTAGAGATGTCTTTTAAAAGACCTAAAGGAAACCCTTTGAAATGTAACCATCAAGGAAAATAGTGTGCCCCAATCCTCAATCTTCCAGTCTCTGGAAGGGCATGTGCCCTGACTTTAATGGGTCTTTGCTCCAAGTTGTAAAACTATGCATGCTATGAAGATACAAAAACATTTATTTTTACTTGGCTAAAGCCAATTAGCCAACATGAATGGCTTATAATCTCCCATCCCATACTTAAACTTTCTCTCACCCTTTGTTTCAGGGAATTGAGTGAAGACTGATTTCTCTCTTCCCTAGTTCAATAGACCTGAATAAAATCTTTCTTCCCTGTGTAATTTTCCCTGGCATAGTTTTTGCTTTGACACTTGTTTATATGTTGAATGAAAAGTGACCTTGAAGAGAGATATATTGATGAAGGAAGAAGAAAAAAAGAAAAATAACAGGAGTAAAGGCTTGGATCTATGAAATGGGATGAACTCTAGTGTACATATGGAGGGGCTGGCTTGGGAAGACCATGAAAGATGTATGCACTAAAGAAAACAAAACAAGAAAAGGCAGAACATTTGGGTACAGATTCTGATAGGCTGATAGGTTTGGTAGTGGGAGCTTGTGAAAGTTACATTTTGGTAGATCCCAGTCTTCTTTAAAGCAGGTCATTGTCACCAGAAAAGAGACAGGGGAGGAAGTATTGAAAGTATTAAAAGTGAGGGAAACAATGGCATTAGAGAATGGAAAACTGGTGGCCAAAGAAATAGGATAGGATGTGTTGAAATCAGCAATGGGATTAAGAGATAGAGCCTTAGGAAGGTGCTGTGGTTTAGATAATGGTTTGTCTCCCAAAGGGTCATGTTTTATAAGCTTGGTCTCCAGCTTTGGGAGCTGGCAAAACCTTTACTCAGAGGGTCCTAATAAGAGGGCACCATCCAATTGGTGGGGAGAGTGGGAAGGTCAAGCGAAGGAAGTGGAAAGTTTGTTTCTTCTCTCTTTTTCTTGCTCCCTTTCTCTCTGCATGTAGCTAATGACCTGTTGCTTTTCATGGCCATGTTGGATTTAGTACTAGAAGCTTCCAAATGCTGGGCCTATGTGCTTAGACTTTTCAGCCATCAGAATAGTTAGTGTAACAAACCTCTATTCTTTATAAATCACCCAATCTTAGATATTTATCTTTAACAAGACAATAGCTAAAGAATACAGAGGAGATTAGGATTATATTAGGTCATCAAAGTGGGGTGTTCATGATTGAATACTAGTGGGTTTATAGGAGAGGGAGTGATAATAGAACAAAGATGTATGCATAGTTATAAGCTTGTTCTTTCTTGCCATATGAGTTACGTACTGTGCCACCATAGACTCCATAAGAAGTCTCCATCAACATACTCTTATCAGATGCAGCTGCTTGACTTTAGACCTCCAGAACTATGAGCTAAATAAACCTCTATTCTTTAGAAATTACCCAATCTATGGTATTCAGTTATTAAGCAATAGGGGATGGATTAAACAGTTGATAAACAAACTGTTCACTCAGGTGAGCAGTCTATTGAGTTTAATAAATTAAACTAGGGAAATTTGTAGAAGCAAACAGTAAATTCGTTGGCTATAGATTTATTTTTTTTCTCAGCAAACTTCCCTGGCACAAACGACTAAGTCATATTGACATAGGTGATTTTTAGTCTCAGCTAATAATAATGACACAGATGGTTTTAATTCTCCACCCCTTCTCATCATTCTTTAGTTCAGACTGAAGAATAGACTACTGTCATCTGGGAAAATGATCCATTCTTAAGTATATTACTCTTTTTTTTTTTTTAAATTTTGGAGAGGTTTTTGCTATAGGATGCATGTGCTCACCAGAAAGACAGAGACAGAAAGCAATAAATCACTCCTCAGGGAGGATGGCCACGCCGCAATCCCTTCTCCTTCATTCTCCTCTCGGGATCTTGGGCATGCACACATACTGGGTCCACGACTTGAACCGTGGTTGGCTACATGGGAGTCCAGCGGCATAGCCATTACACTAACTGCTGGTCCCAGTATATTACTCTTTCAAAAGTCATGATTACCTATTGAGTTGCTGTTGATAGACAGAAAGCAAGAAATCATCCCCCAGGGGTATGGCCACAATGAAATCCTTTCTCCTCCATTCTCCTCTTGGAATCTTGGGCACACATGCACACACGTCCGGTGTGAGTTTAGGCCGCCGGGGTCCAGGACTTGAGCAGCAGTTGACTACATGGGAGTCCAGTAACACAGCCATTACACCAACTGCTGGTCCCTTGATAGGGCATTTAAATTTTTAAAAAAATAAACCATAAAAGTGGTAATAAGCTAAAAAAAGAACATGTAGAATGGACACTTATGGTCAAGTTGTTTCTTTAAAATATTGATGATAGTATGTAAACTATACAAAATGTTCATCAGTATTTCTTATACATGATGGGAGTTGTAATATATCTCTTACCACAAGGAAATCGAGAAACCTAAATATGCTAAAAAAAGCATAAATCATCATCTGTTTCAGACTTGATTAGATACTTGAAGCTGTGGGAGGCACATTTAGATTAAAAATTATTCTTTCAAATTAATCTGGTTTGCCTTTAATAACAAGTTTTCTTTTTTCATGTAGAAAAAGTAAAACATTAGGTGTTAATCTATTGGATCAATTAGCAGAATAATTTTGCAGGCAGTTAATTAAGGCCAGTTTCACATAAACATCATTAGACACTAAAATAGGAAATCAGTCAAATAATTTTCAAAATCATTTGCTTTAAAAAAATTTATCTCAGGTAATCAAAGTAAATCCTTTGGAACCTCATTCTATCAAGTTGATATGTTTAACTTTATTATACTGCTATTTAAATTTAGTTTAAAAGTTCAAAACTAAATTTAAATTAGTTTTTTCAATGACAAGGTAACTAATCTTTTGGGTAAAATACAGTATTGTTGTAATAAGATTGCTATAAACAAATTCAGAAACTTACAGAATATAAATTTACTTGGAAATTGTAATGGTACACATTACTTAGTCAAAAATTAATGAATTTTTTATGTACATAGACTTAGAGTAACAAAATATTTGTGACAAAATTGATGTCGGATACAACTAAATATTTCAGCGTGGCATTGAGTAATTTTTCTCTTTATATACCACATTGTTCAGACTTTAGAGATGTTTGTTTTTGAAGAACTACTTTGTTATTCAACCTAAGTATCCTATCATTGCCTCAAACATTTTTTCCCCTAGAGGGATTTTTGCTATAGGGTGCATACCCTTGCTAGGACAGAGAGAGACAGAGTGACAGGAAGCAAGAAATCACCCCAGGGTCGATGGCCATACCACAATCCTTTATTCTCCTTCCTCCTCTTGGGATTTTGGGCACACATGCACATGTGCCTGGCATGTTTTAAGCCTCTGGATCCGGGACTCAAACCATGGTTGTCCACGTTGGAGTCCAGCAATGTAACAATTATGTCACCTGCTGGTCCCACATCAAACATTTAATAAGTGGTTGCCCTAACATTTCTCTGAAAATTAATGAGATATCTTTAATCAAATGTTCAATAAATAGGCTATCAAGAGTCTAGAACTTCTGAAGTTCTTGAAGAGTTGCAATTTTTATTTTGGAGCTTTTTTTATTTTTTCTATTAAAGAGATGGGAGTGAAGGGGCATCCCTAACAGGGTCCCTATTCCACAATCCACCCCCAGCCTCAGTGAGCCTGGATCATGGACACACACATATGCCCAGTATTTTCAAAGAAATCTCTTGATGTGAGCCTGTGATGTTCCTATATGAGTCTGGCATAATAGAGCATTACATTACTGCTGTGTCACGGGTACAGGTCTCAGGATTGCAATTACTGAAAACAAAATTCTAGCAGGAAAATCTGGAAATGAATCAATGCAAAAGCAAAAAAAAAATAAGTGAGCAAATTAAATAGAAGTTTAAAAATAGATATGATTTAGTTTGCTTTGCTTTAGAATTGCTTTTGGAATAAATTGGTTTTGATGAAACTTCCATTTTTCATTGACTAATTTAGATTCTGTACAAGAATGAATTGAAACTCGAGAAGGCCTATAATTTTGCAAGATCCACATTGGATAAAACCTCTAAAACAATGATAAAGATGGCTGACTTTTTAACATTTCTTTTTAAAAGAGTTTATTTTTTTTCTATAAGTGAGAGAGACAGAGATAAAGAGAGTGTGCACACCCTGACATGGTCTTGATGTCACAATACACCTTTAGCCTTCAGCCAGCCCCGGATGATCATGGGCAAATGTACGTGTGTCCATAGTACTCACGGAGGTCTCTGAATTTAAACCAGGAATTTTCCCAGGTGGGATTGCCTTGTACACCGTCACTTGTTACTGCTGCATACCAGCTGGCCCCAAGATGACTAGCTTGATAAGTTTTTCCTGTGAAATATTTGGCAGAGGAAACTGTTCTGACTGCAGATAAAAGAGATGTGTTTGTGAAAATACTTATAAAATATTTATTCATGAAAAAATATAATATTAAAACTGAAAATATGGTATATTTAGTAGATTTTGCTTGAGCTCATCAGTTACCTCAGCCCTGTAGGGAGAATGTTTTCTTAATGAAAAGTATTATAATTATAAAAAATATTCTATTGAAGATACTGATAATTTCCAATTTGTTTACATTGTATTTGATTATGGAGAAGATTGTAGATGATTTTATTAAAAATTAAATAAGATAGTTAAAAATACAATATTTAGAAAAATGACAGTATCATGATTTTAGCACAGAACTAAGAAACTGATTAAAAGTACATGCATATGCATCAATAATATTTATGCTGTTTGTGTTATATTTTAATATTCTAATAATCAAGATAATTTTCTCCTTCATTGTACTTTACATACATTTTTACTTTCTGGGTAGAATTTTATTTTTTAAAGTAATTTTTCTGTTTGTTTTTAGATTTTGGCTACAGGGTACATGTGCTCACTAGAGAGAGACAGAGAGAGAAGGAAAGTGAGAAATCACTCCCCAGGAAGGATGGCCACGCTGCAATGCCTTCACCTCCATTCTCTTCTCAGGAACCTGGGCACGCAAACACACATGCCAACCATGTTATTTAAGCCTCTGGGTCTGGGACTTGAACCATGGAGTTGGTCATGTGGAATCCAGCCTCTCAACCACCAAAATAACCTGCTGACCCTGAAAATAGTTTTTAAATAGAATAATATATGGGTCTTCTAGTATAAAAAAAAAAACAATTTTTCAGTGATAAATATTAAATATTTTTATTAGTTCAATTATTTCAGATATTTCTGTATTTGTTCTTAGGGTTGCTTTAGTTTGTATAATAAATGATAAAGTCTCTTCAACTAATTGTTGCAAATAAAATAAAAATGAAATTAAAGGAGAAGTAGCTAAATTATGAAGAACACTGAAGATGAGGGTAAAAAGCTTAGATTCTATGGGAAAGACACACTTGGGAAGGATTATTTTTCTTACAGTTCAAGGTACAGGAATTTGAACTGAACTGAAGTTTACCCTATACCCTGAATATCTATTAACACAAGCTTCTATTTTGAAGATAAAAATAGCAGCAATAATCATGATGTTCTTTAAGGTTTCGTTGGTTGTAGCAGTCACATAATTTTAATTAATGAGAACTTTTGTAAGAATAAAACTTTTGCTGAAAGCTTAAGTTTTAAGTTTAGTTTATCACAGTGTTGAACTGCCAGCACCTTATCAGTGAAGTAATTATAATCACACAAAATGGCTTTGCACTCTAACAAACAACTTCCTTATATTTACTCAATGTTTAGTACTCAGACATGAAATCAGTTTCCCATGGTTCCTCCTTTCTCTATTTGGTCCAATGGTTTGAAAATTCTTATCGTATGTAGTTTTGCTACACAATCCTTCACACTCAGGTGTTTGTCCTTTTGTATCTATTCACTTTAAGGTTGGGCTGGACATAAATGTGATGTTTATTCTTATTCAGTAATCTTTCACCTAGCCTTTAAAGTTATTTTGACTTGAGTGAACCATAAGAAATGATTGATTTCTGGGCAGCAAAGCAGCAATTTCAAATAGGTGAATTTCAACCTGTACCTTCTTGTCCCACATCTTACCTTCCTTGTCATTGACACCAAGGTTGACAATTTCTTTTTTCATCCCTTCTAAGTACAGGCAATCACATATTACTCTTTAGTATGAATAATTTTCATGATTTTAATATCATGAAATTTATTTAGTTTTTTTTACAATTGGATTTATGATATTTAGATTATAAATAAATAATCTTATCTAGTAGTTTTTACATGTCAGATTATGTACTCCCATTTCACAGATGAGGAAATAGTTACCAGTTATTTAAGTAACATCCCCGTAATCACACATACAGTAAATGTTCAAGTAAGAATTTGAACTTAGAAACTCCTTTCTACTGTACCATACTTCTTACATTTAATTAAGATGAAGGATGGCAGAGATAAGAGGACATAGGAAATTCAAAGAATACAGGACAAAATACAACAGAAACAATAATTTCAGTGAAAAACTTAGTAATTAGTTGTTTGTTTTAAATAAGGATGTGTAAAATACAGATAATTAGTTGTTTGTTTTAAATAAGGATGTGTCAAATTCAGATCACTTTCTTCTTGTAAAAAAGAATTATTTTATTTATCTTATTTGACCAGAGAGGGACAGAGTGGGGGAGGGGAGAGCAAGCTGCCAGGTCTGGGACTTGAACCACAGTTGGCCATGTGGGAGTCCAAGTGCCCTTAACCACCATGCCACCTACTAGCCCCTAGATCACTGTCTGATGAATGAACATAGACATCTTATAGGAGTTTCAAAGTGGTGTTGAACTTTGGGGACTAAGTTTACGAAGTATACTGTGTAGGTTTTGGAAGCATAATATTGGGAAGGACTCCGTTCAGAGATATTTATTTTGAAAAGTGGGAAAGGAAGAGCCGGGATAGGTTCAGTCTTAAGTAATGGAACTAAGAGAAAGAAAGAAAGTGAATAGTCATCATTCAGTAATAGGAGGCACCTAGCAGGGCTCTCCTTGCTCTAGGTGCTCATGATCTAGGGAACAAGGTTGAGGGAAGCTCTGAGATGACAAAGACCCATGTGGGAAGCATGTGTACAGATGGCCTGTTTTCTTCACACATTCTATATCGAATATTGTTGGTGTACCAGGCAATTTTTACAGCAATGTCACTGATTGCATGCTCATCACAATCAGCTGGGATTCGGCTCCATTGTGGTAATTATGACAATGCTAAGAAAATTTGATCACATTTTCAAAATAATCATATTCTTAACATCTAAAATTTATGTAATATTTTGTTAACATAAGACAATGTAAAATTCTAAGAAAATAGTAAACAACTCTAAAAGATAATCGTGTATATTGAGTATTCTAGAAGACAGATTGACATAAATACTGAGTCTTTGAGAGGTTTGCAGGAGTATAAGTTGAATTTGTATGATAATTTATTTTGTAAAACTTTGTTTTCTAGTTATTTTGAATATAAATCAATTGTAATCTCTTTGAATATATATTTCAGTTCATATATAATTGAACAAATGAGAGAAAAGTTAACTAAAGGCTCTTCAAATAAAGTTTTCCTTAGGATCCAATTAGATAAAAAATATTTTCTTTGCAGCAAGTAAATGATTCATTTTTAGCCTGTAAGACTTTAAAGTCTTGCCAATAATAGCTGTGGTTCACCAAATAATACTAACTGAGGCATTTTGCTATTTGACAAATATCAAAAGGAGGGATGTCCTTAAGGTGCGTAGGGTTCTGAATTCTTTGAAGTCATGGATGCTTTTATAAACAAATTTTATTCTTTGACTTTAAGTTCCTTTTTCCTATTATTGAAGCCAAGTCAAATATATAATATTTATTTTTAAATGGGCTGCTTTGATACATATATGCATAAATAGTAGCTATTAGATTGGCTATATGATAAAAAGAATATCCATTATTAGGTTCTAAATATTATTATACATTATAAATCCATTTTTTTTCTTTCTTTGTTTTTCTAAACATCATTATCCTGGCAGGAGATAGTCAGCTTTAGGACACAGTATGTAGACAGGAATATTTTCCTTCAAAGTGAGCTAATGTAAAAAAATAAATAAATAAAAAAATAAAGCTCTGTCCTTGGAGGTTAAAATAATATGAGATACTATTTTTCACCAGTCATCTTGCAGATATTAAAACTTACAATGATACGTAGTATTGGCAGGAATATATTAGTTGAAAACTCATTCTTATATACTGTTGTATGAACACGGATTGCTGCAACTTGTAGGAAAGGCTTTTGGTAATAGAGCAATTATTTAGGACTGTTTTTGTTGCAAATAACAGAAAATTTGACTTACAGCTTCTTAAACTAATATGGTCTATTTTTCTCAGATGTCCAGAAATATGAAGTTAATTGCTGGGTCAGGAGTTTGGTGACAATCAGTACCAGCTCTTCTGTTTTTCTCTTAGCCTGGCCATCATGCATGTCACCTCATGGGCCCCAAATGGCTATTGGTGATTTAGACATCTTATCTGTAGCCAAAGCAGAGAAAAGGAGAAAGGGAGAAGAGCTATCCCAGCTTTGAGGAAAGAAAGGGATCTTTAAATGTTCCCTCAAAACACTTTTGATCATGTTTCAAGGACCTGATAGGGTCTTATGACCTTTCATAGATCTAAGAGGGTTTGGGAAAGCAAGTGTTTGGTTTCCAACCTCTTCAGAGGGAGATAACAAAGGAAAAGAAGCTTGAGGACAATTTTTTAACCATTTCAAAAGTACATTCCTTTGTTTCAGCAATTTCCCATTCATAAAAGTATCTTTCAGATGGATCTCCACAAATATAGTACAGAATGTCTAATGTAAATTTTTTCTGGTATATTGTATCTCACATCTGGTGAGGGTTTTGGTGGTCAGTAACACCATTAGAGGGCAAAATTGAGTATGTATGTGTCTGTGTGCCTCTGTCTTATTCCCTCTCCCTATAAAGCTACCAGGCTTCAATCATGGGGGTCTTGTTCTAGTAACCTTAATCCTAATCTCCTTCCTGAAGCCCTCACCTTCCAGCATCATAGGTTGTTTTCACTCAGTCAAGCCTGACACAATCAAATCTCAACACATGAAGTTAGAGGGCACATTCAAACTCTGCCTTTTTCTCAAGTGGTTACTAGACAATTTAAAATGCATGCATAGGTAGTTGGCTGGCTCTACAGACTAGTCATTAAGAGATCCAGATCCCACATAGATGACTGTGGATTGAATCCTGGCCCTAGCAGCTTAAAAAACAGGGCACATGTGCATACATGTGCACATCCAAAATCCTGACAGGATGGGAAAATGAAGAAGGGATTGTGGCATGACTGTATCCTATTGGGGAGTTATTTTTTTCCTCTTCCTCCCTCTCTTTTTCTGTCTCTCTGTTGACCTCTGGAGAG